AGTGTACAGGGCCTGCGCAGTCTGATGCTGGCCAAAGTGCTCGCGCTCGTCGACTGGCAGGGAGTTGCGAATAGCAAAGCGGGCGTGGGCATCGCGAGTCTGCCACTGTGAGCGAGCAGTAGCAGTAGCAGTAGTAGCAGGAGGAGGGACTGTGCCTAGTGCGTGATCGTACAGCGAGATATCCTCTCTGGCAGTGAGCTGGAGGAACAGGTGAAGATCATCGAGCCATGTCTCAAACTTAATCGGGCGGCCCTCAGCATCGAACGAGAGAACTGGAGGGCTAGCCATAGCTGAAGTAGCAGTAGCAGAAGTAGCAGTAGCAGTGGTAGTAGTAGCAGTAGCAGTAGCAGTAGTGGTGCTGCTGCTCAGGTAAGGAGGGCGCGGCTCGGCTAGGACGGCGCGGCTCGGCTAGGGCGGCGCGGCTCGGCTAGGGCGGCGCGGCTCGGCTGGGGCGGCGCGGCTCGGCTGGGTCGCGCGGTTCGGCTCGGGTCGCGCGGTGCAGCTGGGGTCGCGCTGTGCGGCTCGGCCGTAGAGGGGCGAGCGCGGGAGGGGCCGTTCGGGGGCCGGTCGGGGCTAGCGCGGGGCCATTTGGGGGCCGTAGGAGGCTAGCGCGGAGCCGTAAGGGGCCGTGGGAGGCTAGCGCGGGGCCTGAAGGGGCCGTGGGAGGCTAGCGCGGGGCCTTACGGAGTCGTGGGAGGTTAGCGCGGGGGGCCGCACGGGGCCGTTCGAGGCTAGCGCGGGGCCAATCGGGGCCGTAGGAGGCTAGCGCGGGGCCGTAGGTGGGCCGTGGGAGGCTAGCGCGGGGCTACACGGGGCCGTTAGGGGCTAGCGCGGGGCCATAGGGGGCCGTGAGAGGCTAGCGCGGGGCCGACGCGGGGCCTTAAGGGGCTAGCGCGGGGTCTTAAGACGGGGCCGTGAGAGGCCTGAAGGGGCGACGCGAGGGGCCGTGAGGGGCCTGAAGGGGCGACGCTAGGAACGAGGCGCACGAGGGCGCTAGGAAAAGGCGGCGCACGAGGGCGCGGCTAGCGGAAACGGTGGGCCCTAACGTTCCGGTCCTAGGTGGAACCTAGGCTCGTAATACCATGTCAGAATCAGAAACAGGAATGATGTGACTAGCAGGAACAACAGTACAAATATGAAACCCTAAACTGGTGTACCCCCTATGGTGTGACCCACTACAGCCTAGAACCACACAAACATATAATGTTTGACATGTTCCAGGTTCAGGTAGGTTAGGGTACGAGTAGCGAAAATTAACGAATGTGACACCAACCTGCAAAGCAACTCGTGACCCATAGTAACGTGGCTCCAAAGCACAGAGTCAGAAGTGGTGCTGCTTCCTCATGATTTCCCCAGTGCCACTCGCAACTCGAAGTCAGGAACATTCAGCCATGGCTCTTCCAATCTTAGATAGTAAACTAGCCTTTCAGCCGATCTCCATGCCCTTTCCCTACGGCGGAGGCTGGCTCGACATAACCGTAGACCACGCCAATAGGCTACGACCCGGTGAATGGGTTAGCGGAATCGTGATTGATTGGCTCGGTGTGTGAGTATCACGAATATAGACTCATTACACAGTGACGACACGGTTCTCTCATGCTTTTATTTTGGCGTTAATCTGCGCACTCGCAGGATGCTGCAGTACGAACACGGTCTCAATCGCACAAAGTGGCTTTACGCTGGATCCTATTTCTGGGACTACGCTCGGAAGGACACACCGAGGCCTGAAAACGCCTACACTTTCGGATTGGGAATATTCGAATTCACACACGTTCTAGTTCCGATTAATACCGAGTAAGTTCTCGCCGCGTCGTGCCGTTGCACCAGAAATATTTCGCAATGATAATGTCGTTTTTAATGATGCTAGTCCTCGTTTGCGCATTAGGAGTCATTGGAGCTTGATCGTCATCGAGAGAATCCCGAGACCCGACGACCCGATTCCCATGAACTGCGTGCTATGGCACGCTGACTCGAACGGTACCCATGACGGTGTTGACGCTCCGTTGCGCAGGTATTCGCTCTCAAATGGCAGTATGCTGTTGTCTCGTAACTCAAAACGGGGTAACTAAATAATTGAAGAACCATCATCCGATATGCAGGTATTTACGAAACGAGGTCGTAAAATGTTGTTCGTGGATCATTGATTCGGACGCTGATGCATGGGCTGCGAGCATCCCGCTACGGCACGTCAAGGTGAGCGAAATTGCCTTGTTTGTACGAGCTCCGAGCCCATGCATCTCTTTTTCTCGCAACGCGATTTCCTCCACCAACCCCCAATTTTGGACGGGCCTTACACTGCCGTAATTGACCCTGTGTGTCTTCAGATTCCAATGCAGGACAATGAGAACGACTGTGGTGTGTTCGCGATGCGTGTGATGCACACATTGGTCGACGATGGTTTTCGTAACCTCCTTGCGTGTGAGCTTGTCGGTACGCCACTCAAATGGCGCCGTCAGTACCGTCGCGATTTGAGGAAGTGGTCTGTGTTTTTTCGGGGAAAGACGATGGTGGAGGTTAGAGGTGGGGCATGAGGCGGGTCTAAGCTGGTAATGGGGCGGGTAGCTTGGTGGAACGCGACTGGAATGAGAATGACAGGGTGAGCGAAGGGGGATGAGGCTGATAGCAAAGGGGGAGTGAGGCGGGTATGAAGTGGGGATTGAGACGGGTAGCAAGGGAGATTGAGGCGGGTAGCAAGGGGGAATGGGGCGGGTAGCAAGGGGGAATGAGGCGGGAAGCATGGGGGAATGAGGCAGGTAGCAAGGGGGAATGAGGCGGGTAGCAAGGGAGATTGAGGCGGGTAGCAAGGGGGAATGGGGCGGGAAGCATGGGGGAATGAGGCAGGTAGCAAGGGGGAATGAGGCGGGTAGCAAGGGGGAATGGGGCGGGTAGCATGGGGGAATGAGGCGGGTAGCATGTGAGAATGAGGTGGTTAGCAAGGGAGAATGGGGCGGGTATGAAGTGGGGATTGAGGCGGGTAGGAAGGGAGATTGAGGCGGGTATCATGGGGGAATGAGGCATGTAGCATGGGGGAATGAGGCGGGTAGCAATCGGGAATGAGTTTGGTAGCATGGGGGAATGAGGCAGGTAGCAAGGGGGAACGAGGCAAGTAGCAAGGGGGAATGAGCAGGGTAGCAAGGGGGCATGAGGTGGATAGCAAGGGGTAATGAGGCAGGTAGCAAGGGGGAACGAGGCAGGTAGCAAGGGGGAATGAGGCTGGTAGCAAGGGGGAATGAGGCATAGGCAGGTAGCAGGGAGCAGGAGGGGATGAGGCGGGTAGCAGGTCTCAGCATAGGGTGAACTTATTGGGCCTATGTTGTCAAACAAGACCTATAAGGAGGATCTGTTTGTCCCACCGTCCAGTCCATCGTGACAAGCCAACAAGCAAGTCACAGAACGCGTGGGTGAGGCTTCGAAACAGTCCCCATCACTCACGTGACCAAACAGCAAGTGTTTGTCACCTCCTGTCAAGCATGAAATAAGAACATACAACACATCAAGCAATTTATTTATGCACTATAGCTGCCCTACAGGACAACAGTGCAGAGACGCCCCATGATGGGAGTTTGTGTTGGAAAAAATCGGTCCTAAGCGCTTGTGTCGTGTCGAAACACCAAAACACAAACGAAGCAAAACACTACGGTATCGAAGCACCAGCGAGTCAACCCTCGGAGGATGAAGTAACTGTCGGAGGTTACGGTCAGGTCAAAGGTCAGCGACCTTTGACCTGACAAGTACAGCGCGACAGCAAGGACACACAACTGACTCGCTGCAGAGCAGTTGCCCGAGTCGTCACTGTATCGAACCACAACAGCAACAGTAAAGTAGTTGCAACCGTATCTCTTCGTATTCCTTGTACTCTTATATAATCTTGTATCTCTTTGCTTTAATCAATTTACTTTGCCCTCACATACAAGCGCAAGGTGGTTCACAACACTTTAATTAACGCTTCCGCTACTACACCAAGTCTACCCAGAGTTCACCCCTGCAAAGATCCTAAGGGCTTTTCAGCCCAACTGTTTGTGTATGGCACTGGTAATGTTGCACCACAAATGACATACCAGTAGCTACCTTGTTGCGACACCAATATATTATTAACCTAGACCATATTTAAACAACAATCAAGGTAACAGGGTCACTGCTCTCCTTAAACAATTTGACAGTTGGTCCGTGAAGGATGTGTCTGGTTATGCACTGTCGGTGCTCATACTTGTGAGTAAACATACGGTATTGGACAGCTCAACATTCCTTTGGTAGTAATGATTTATATGTTCTTTCAACACTGTATTGCAGCCTTGCAAATAAATGTGTCATTTTGTGCCCCCCGTGCGCCATACCACGTACCTCGGTTCATTGCCACGAACGTTGTTCTCTCCGAATTGCGACCCAATCGCCACCACTCACAACTAACTCCCGAGCATGCGTTCTTATCGCAGGTGTTCCATAACGGCTTCGTATCAGACTGTCGCATCGCTGTACGAATTGCGCCAATGGTTCGTCCCCGTTTCTCCGAAGTGGCGATTTTACTATTGACGTGACGCCTGCGCCAAGCTTCGTGAGGCACGCGTGGAAGACTATGAAAATTAGCCACATAAAGTCTGTGCGGGCAGAATAGATATCTTTCGTGAGCCCTAATACACTAGCGCACGTTCAAGCACTAGCAACATTTTGTATCGCTCCCTGCCGCTACTGGACGGATAAACGCCCACTTCCACTTAATCATGCCCCATTGGAGCCTCAATTTTTTTATGGATGCACGTTAACCACCGTGTGATTGGTTGTTTGGGGAAACGAGGGACCTAGATGTCGCAAGGTGGAACAGAGCAGGAAACACTCAAACCCTCGTCACCTCCGTGCTCCTCTTGCGTGCCTGCATGTGGGACGGTCATCTGCTCCAGGCCCCTGTCTGATCCTCGTCCCTTCTATGCTCAACAATTTTTTAGTGCGCGAAGCGTAGCCGTCAGGTTGCAACGTCATAACTAACACACACCTCAGACTACTGCATGAATGGAAACCTAGACATTGCAATGGATAGTCAGACGATTAAGGGGCCCGATGGGGCGATCGTTTTGGCAGACTCGTCGAAATTGCCGGAGGAAAAAATTTATATGGAGTTAGTTACAGTAGATAAAACGGCCGAGATCGTTAACGAGTACCGCAAGTACAATGCGTCGTCGGCGCGTGATGACGTTGAGTCAGGACGGGACTCTTCATCTGGTGACGAATCAAATAGCGACGGCGATGTTGGGGCATACGCTAACAAGGGCGTGTCCTCCCCTCCAAAACCAAAGGAGAGGCGCGTGAGGCGCTTAGATGACATCGGTCCCAAAGCCGGCCAGAAAGGTACGTGTCTTTGGTACCATCTGCTGAAAGGTAGACTTGCATGATTAATTACCTCCGACCGATCCAGTAAGTGCGGTTTGCCGTCGTGTTTGACTTGTTCCCGTTACTGAAGCTCCGATTGTGCTCCCCCGTAACATTGTCAGAGGACAAGCGTGACAACCGAAAGGGGCGTAAGCGCCGTCAACAAAAGAGAGGCACTACTTCCCATGCTGTGTCTGAAGGCGACGAGGAGGTCGAGGACGGCGGACCCATCAAAGAAGGTGCGTGTTTGTGTAATATCGCCGGTTCCTAAGTAGCACGTTACTCCCTGCATCGACTGATCATACTGATGCCACTTCGTGCAATTAAGGTTAGCGCGCACTGGACTGCTAATGTTCTTGTGATGTCCGCCCTCGCAGCTCCGTCAGCAGGCAGGCGTGCAGGACAACACGGTAGATGTTATGACCGTAGCGGGAGGGCTGCGGAGTATCATGGCAGTCCATCTGGCCGCCTAGGAATGTCTGCGCGTGGCGACGAGCAGGAACATGGTGAGCTTGAAGGGCGTGGTGGTGGAAAGCGCAACAACGTGAAGGCGGCGGCGGCAAAGGGCAGTCCCTCGGGGAGGCTCTCGCAGGAGGTGGCTGGTGGCGACGAGCAAGAACATGGCGAGCTTGAAGGGCGTGGTGGTGGAAAGCGCAACAACGAGAAGGCGGCGGCGGCGGCCAAGGGCAGTCCCTCGGGGAGGCTCTCGGAGGACGTGGCTGGTGGCAACGAGCAGGAACATGGCGAGCTTGAAGGGCGTAGTGGTGGAAAGCAAAACAACGCGAAGGCGGCGGCGGCAAAGGGCAGTCCCTCGGGGAGGCTCTCGCAGGAGGTGGCTGGTGGCGACGAGCAGGAACATGGCGAGCTTGAAGGGCGTGGTGGTGGAAAGCGCAACAACGAGAAGGCAGCGGCGGCGGCCAAGGGCAGTCCCTCGGGGAGGCTCTCGCTGGATGTGGCTGGTGGCGACGAGCAGGCGCTGCCCAGGCCCGTTATAGAAGGTTGGCGGTTCCTGGCTACTTCTGTCGTTGATTTTGAGGTTGCATAGCCTTCGCTGCCACCCTCCTTGTATATTGTTACCTGTTGCACTAGCAACTATGTGGTGAGTGACGTGACACCGAGATTGTCTCTCTCATATCCCTCTCGCTGCAGGGCTAGCAGAGCAGCGAGGTGGTGGCGGTATCGATCAGGATGAGGACAAGCCTGCAGTAGTGACTGCTGGGAAAGAACATGGACGTGAAGCTGTGATTCCGTACAAACGACGCAATGCTGTGGACTCGGCCGGTCGCGACCGAAATGCGAGACAAGCTCGACAAGGGACGAAACAGTATGTTTCGAGCTCGTCGGGTTCGGAGGAGGGATCCAGTGACAGTGAGTCAGGCAGCTCATCCGGGAGTGAGGAAGTATACGAGGACGAGGAGGAGGAGGAGGAAGAGGAAGAGGAGGATGAGGAGTTGGAGCCGGAGAGCGAGGATGAGGAGGAGGCTCGGCCTTTGAAGAGGAGGGGTGTGCGGAAGACCAAGAAGGGCAATGGAAAGCGAAAACCGGAGACAGGACGGGTGAAGAGCTATAAGCAGAGTGTGCGTCGTGCCAAACCACATGGCAAGCGCCAGAGACCTCGATTCGAAGCTAAAATTGTGGGTGTGCGTAGCAAGGAGAAGCGGGAGTTGGATTTTTACGAGTCCATGGGGCAACGATGTCCATCAAGCCCTCATGATCGGAAAGCCACCGACACGTATGCTGCGTTACGCTAGCAGATGGATTCGTATGGGAAGGGAGATCCGATCGCTTGGGGGTCAGCGCGGTTTGGCAGGGAAGCGACGGACCCGCATGCAAAGCTTTCGGGGGGTCACGCGGTTCAGGTGAAAATCGAGGGAGCAACGAAGCGGCACGAACCCTCGGCCGCCGCCGCAGCCAATGACGGTGTGGGAGGAGGTGTGTGGGCGAATTCCTTGGGTGAATGTGGCGGCGGTGTGGAAGGCTCCATGTGGGATGTACGGGATAGCAGGGGAGAAGGACGAGACTTGAAAATGGATCCGGCGACTAAGGAGGGGAGGGGCGAGAGCATGGGCACACCTGGCGCATCCAGTCGGCCCAATGTGGCTGGCGGCAAGACGATGGAGCAGCTCATTTGGGAGCTTGCCCAGCGGGATCGCGAAATTGCGGCACTCAAGGCAAGGCCAGGAGCCAAAGGACCTATCAAACCCTGCACCCCTCCATCTAGGCCTCCTCGTATTGCGTCTCTGTTGAGCGGCCCATCTGCAGTGGGCCTCGATCCAGGCGTGGCGCCAGAAAGCCCATCGACGGTAGACGTACCGGTCCGTCGAACGCGTGGGATGCCCAAGCCCAAGCTGCTGAAGGTGGGTATGTTTAAGTGTTAAGAAAGGTGTGGCATGGGGCTCAGTGATAGCTGCAGCTCTCTCTCTCAACACCTCGTTCCCCCCACCTCTTTATGCTGGTCAGAGTGTTTGTACCATTATGCGCAGTGATAGCGGCCTGGCTACGGTGTGATAGGCTCTCCCAGTACGCCCCGCTTCAGGGACGCTGGCGCTGGGCGTACGATACTCTCACACTCTGCCCCACCTCTCCAAGCTCACCATAACTGTTCTATTTCCTCCCCCCCCCCCCTCTCTCCCGTCACTCCACATCCTCTTCCAGAGCCCCTGTTCATGGCGCTGCTTGTCTGGTATGGGTGGCATGCGGCGCAGAGATAGCAGCAGCCCTCTCTGTCATCCCTACGCGCCCAATCCCTTCTTTCCGCTTGCTCCCCCCCCCCCCCCCCCCCTCTCTATCCCACCCCTCCCCCTCCTCTTCCAGAGGCCCTCTAAACAGTGCTGCTGGTCTGGTGTGGGTGGCATGCGGCGCAGAGATAGCAGCAGCACTCTCTGTCATCCCTACGTGCCCAATCCCTTCTTTCCGCTTGCTCCTCCCCCCCCCTCTCTATCCCACCCCTCTCCCTCCTCTTCCAGAGCCCCTCTAAACGGTGCTGCTGGTCTGGTGTGGGTGGCATGCGGCGCAGAGATAGCAGCAGCACTCTCTGTCATCCCCACGTGCCCAATCCCTTCTTTCCGCTTGCTCCCCCCCCCCCCCCCCCCCTCTCTATCCCACCCCTCTCCCTCCTCTTCCAGAGCCCCTCTAAACGGTGCTGCTAGTCTGGTGTGGGTGGCATGCGGCGCAGAGATAGCAGCAGCACTCTCTGTCATCCCCACGTGCCCAATCCCTTCTTTCCGCTTGCTCCCCCCCCCCCCCCCCTCTCTATCCCACCCCTCCCCCTCCTCTTCCAGAGCCCCTCTAAACGGTGCTGCTGGTCTGGTGTGGGTGGCATGCGGCGCAGAGATAGCAGCAGCACTCTCTGTCATCCCCATGTGCCCAATCCCTTCTTTCCGCTTGCTCCCCCCCCCCCCCCCCCTCTCTATCCCACCCCTCCCCCTCCTCTTCCAGAGCCCCTCTAAACGGTGCTGCTGGTCTGGTGTGGGTGGCATGCGGCGCAGAGATAGCAGCAGCACTCTCTGTCATCCCCACGTGCCCAATCCCTTCTTTCCGCTTGCTCCTCCCCCCCCCTCTCTATCCCACCCCTCTCCCTCCTCTTCCAGAGCCCCTCTAAACGGTGCTACTGGTCTGGTGTAGGTGGCATGCGGCGCAGAGATTGCAGCAGCACTCTCTGTCATCCCCACGTGCCCAATCCCTTCTTTCCGCTTGCTCCTCCCCCCCCCTCTCTATCCCACCCCTCTCCCTCCTCTTCCAGAGCCCCTCTAAACGGTGCTGCTGGTCTGGTGTGGGTGGCATGCGGCGCAGAGATTGCAGCAGTACTCTCTGTCATCCCCACGTGCCCAATCCCTTCTTTCCGCTTGCTCCTCCCCCCCCCTCTCTATCCCACCCCTCTCCCTCCTCTTCCAGAGCCCCTCTAAACGGTGCTGCTGGTCTGGTGTGGGTGGCATGCGGCGCAGAGATTGCAGCAGCACTCTCTGTCATCCCCACGTGCCCAATCCCTTCTTTCCGCTTGCTCCTCCCCCCCCTCTCTATCCCACCCCTCTCCCTCCTCTTCCAGAGCCCCTCTAAACGGTGCTGCTGGTCTGGTGTGGGTGGCATGCGGCGCAGAGATAGCAGCAGCACTCTCTGTCATCCCCACGTGCCCAATCCCTTCTTTCCGCTTGCTCCCCCCCCCCCCCCCCCCCCTCTATCCCACCCCTCTCCCTCCTCTTCCAGAGCCCCTCTAAATGGTGCTTCTGGTCGCGTGTGTGGCATGCGGCGCCAGCGTGTAGCGGGCCGGGCTGCAGCGGGGGTTGTGACTCTTAGTACGAGGAGAACATGACCCCTTACGCAGTCCGTACGGTGCTCTCACACTCTGCTCCCTCTCCCATATGATTTCACTCAGACTAGTTCATCCCCTCTCTCCCCCCTCTATCTCCCTGCTCTCCCCTACCTCAACCAGAGCCCCTGTTCATGGTGCTGGTGGTGGTGTGGGTGGCCTGCGGCACGTGTTACCCAAATCCCACTCTCTCGACCTCTGGTTTCCGCCCTTCTTTGGGAGTCACCCACATATCCTTTTTTCCTATCCATCCGGCTGTCGTAGGTTCATTTCGCAGAGGGGCGGGACCGGATGTGCCTCGAGGCGCCAGACCATGCCATAGACTTCTACCCAACGCTCAAACAGCGCGTGCAGGTGTTGTATGAGGTTATCAGCGAGACGCACATCATCAACATGATGCAGCTGCGAGAGGCTATGGAAGACAAAAACATCATAGGCGCTTTTAAACGCGCCTGGACGTCATGGAAGAACGAACGTGGCTTCCACCTCAAGCGCAGAGTGCTCGTCACTTTCGGCAACAAGGTGGAAGGCCTGCGTGCAGCCGAACTGTGGATGGGCACCAAGAAGAAGCGGAAGATGTGGAAAAAATACCAACCGAGTGAGTACTTGCGTGACTGTTTTCCATCCCCTATTGACATGTCTGCTCATGCACCCCTCGTGCATGCCCCACGTTGATGAAGCACGTACCCCCAATGCATCCCCACTTTGGCACGCGACTACATACCTGCTCTCCTCGCCCATGCTTGTAGCGCATGTGCAAACACATCCGCATGACAGCCATCCGTTGGTTCTTCTCCCACACTCCCCTTCTCCCGCCCCCCGTTTAACTCCCGCCCTCCTCTTCTCTCCCGCCACCCCCTTCTCTCCCGCCATCCCTTCCTCTACCGCCCTCCCCTTCTCTCCCGCCCTCCCCTTCTCTCCCGCCCTCCCCCTATCTCCCGCCCACCCCTACTCTCCCGCCCTCTCGCCATTCATTCCCCCCCGCCCTCGATGTTCATCCATACCCTTTGGACAACCCTAAACCATGAGTCATGCATGATCACGGATGTCTCATGCTTCCCCGCATTCTCATACATGCGCGCAGGAGGGAAACAGCGGGTCAGCTCGTGGGGAAACAACAGAGACGGGCTCCCGTTTGCCAACGGCCGGTTTGTAGATGCGGTCCGGGAAGCATTTCGGAATTTCTGTGTCGGGCGCCGGGTGTGCGTCAAAGCATACCACATTGCCTGGTCAATCATGGTGGTACGCAATTATTGCTCAACCCATGGTATGCTCTAGCTTGGCATGCTGTTTTATAGTCCCTCGGCATGGTATGTGGGGCATTTAGCGCAGCCTCTAAACTCTGCACGCGAGTGTCCACTGAAGTTGGTGTTTTTCCTCCATCCCATACTGTGCTATGCCTTTTCAGATTGACCAGGGCCTATCAAAGGTTAAGAGGACTGACTGGAACGTCTCCAACTCCCACCGGAAGAACAATGAATGGATGGGGGGTTTGCACCGTAATGTGCGGTGGATTATCAAGGACCACTTCACACGCCACACCCCCGTGTACAACACAGACGTGAAGGGCTTCAAGTGGGGCGACCGTGGGCTGTATGTTCACGAGTCAGGATTTGAGGCCTTCCGGGGGAAGGCTGAGCTTGATGCCGAAACGAAGGACCTGAAGGAGGAAGAAAAGGAGGTGTACGACTCGGAGGACATGGAGGAGGATAAGGAGGAGGAGGATGAGGAGGAGGAGGAGGAGGAGGAGGAGGAGGAGGAGGATGACGAGGAGGAGGACGAGGAGGAGGAGGAGGAGGAGGAGGACGAGGAACAGTGGGGGCAGGAGCAGAGGAAGAGGAAAAGGCACAAGAGACCTAGGGCAGGCGGGAGGGATGAGGAAGAGGATGAGAAACGGGGGGGGCAAGAGCTTAGGAAGGGCAGAAGGCACAAGGGAGGGAAAACCAGGGGAGGCAGGAGGGAAGCGGACGAGGAAGAGGAGAAGGAAGAGGAGCTGGGGGATAAGAAACAGGGGGGGCAGGAGCGGAGGAAGGGCAGGAAGCACAAGAGAGGCAGAGGGCAGGGAAGCAGGAGGGAAGAGGAAGTGGAGGAAGATGAGGAAGAGGAGGAGCAGGAGGATGAGAAACAGGGGGGCCAGTCGCGGAGGAAGGGTAGAAAGCACAAGAGAGGCAGAGGCAAGGGAGGTTGGAGGGAAGTGGAAGAGGAGGAAGAGGAGGAAGAGGAGAAAGAGGAGGAAGAGGATGAGGATGAGGATGAGAAGCAGGGGGGCCAGGAGCGGAGGAAGGGCAAAAGGCACGAAAATGGCAAAAGAAGGGGAGGCAAGAGGGCCAAATGATGGTGTGACGAGACAAGGGGGGATGCAGATGAGGCATGCGTGGAGTTTACAAAAGGGGACAGCAGGAGAGGCATCACATACGTGCGAGGAGAGGCATTGGTGGAGACAGCAAGGGGGGCATCAGGGAAGGCACGTGTGGATAGAGAAAGGGGGACAGCATTACGGAGGGGAGTGGTGCAAGGGCCGCAGCAGTATAGGCATGACCGGATAGGACAAAGCAAGCAGCAGTAAAGGCTTGACTGGAGGATGTCTAAGGCGGAGCAGCAGACGCATGACAGGGCTGGACATGCGAGGAAGCAGTGGACGCACGGGCAGGGCAATAGTACCACAATTAGTGAAGGAGGGATGGGAGATGCAGGAAGACAGGCAGGAAGTGGGGTCGCAGCCAAGGCATGGATCATGGGGGCTAGGTGTAGGGGCGAGCATGCTCGGCCTAGAGCACGAGACATGGGGTGTAGTGGGAGGCATAGTGTACGGGAGCATGAGAAGCAGGTTGATGCAGATCACCCTAAGAGGCGGGGGTCTTTGACTAGAGAGGGTGGGGTGTAGGATGCTCTTGTATGTGCCTTTTTTGTTGAGAATAAAACCCATTTACCAACGCTTCAGTAATGGTCATTTTGGATGCTAGGATGAGGCAACTAAACATCTTGTTAAACAACGTGTTAACCATTGCAAGTCTCCAATCCAACTTCATTATAACTAAACCGGATGTCCTTGAAGAGTACAATGCAATGAGATCCAATCTCCGAAATTGCTCTGCGGAAACTCCAACCAAACTTCTGCCGAAGGTTTTCACCTGAGAGGTTTGAACACACAAGCATCGCAGAAGCATGCGAACAGCGTTCGACAAAGCATCCAGAAGAAGGTATATACTTTCTCAAAATATCGTACCAAACAAGACGTTTATAAATCATTCAACAAAGCTTTAAAGCAACTCTTTTCAAAGGTTTTCTGGACGCAGGATTTTTGTGATGAATCCACCATTTCACGGTGGATTGCCGTGGGTTGGCGCTGTAATTGGCTGTTGGGCCATTTGGGGAAAAGGTGGGGAGGTAGGTTTCATATGCGGTTGTAAAGTTCCCCATTTCGGGGCCCGAAATTTCGCGAGCGGCATTTCGCCCAAACCTCTTCGGAGGGTTCCGGCCCCGCTTCCTGATGTCGCTGCCAGTCCGATGCCTTCCTTTTTCTTCCAATCTCACATGTGCTGGCGAACACCGCCAATAACAGTTCAAAATGTAAATATCAAAACGAAGCTTCATTCTCCTTACATTCTCTGTAAATTTTGGGCTAGTTCAATTTGGCTACGCATAGGACATATATGAAAATTCTACTCGATGGGAAAAGTGGACTATCTTAGGAAGGGCCTATAAGCCAGAACATCTGTACAAGCACAATCACGACTGCCAACTTGGTTGTGCCAGCTGTTGACAATGACTAGCCAGGAAGTGTGGCCAAGCACAGCCAAGATAGCCAAGCACAGTGCGCTCGCATGTGTGTTTGGCTGCAGTTTGTGTTTCGAACTTGTCCAATTTGTCTGCCATCTGTGTGTTTTTGATGTGGAATCTCTGGCCAGCATGTAGGACCAAGTGAACAGAACATTTCGAGTGTTCTATTTTGACGCTTGGTGCATGGTGTGCCTGTCAATATTAGGGGGCTCAGTTACATGCACAGCGGAGCTGAATGACAACATTGTAGACGCTGCTCCCGATTGTGCGATAGTAGAGAATGAGGGTGTATCAACCCGTTTGACTACTCTTTTTGAAAAGTACAGTAGTTACTTCTTAGAACCTCCAAGTTGCCGAATAGCTTGACCCCATCACTATTCCACGGACCATGCACGGCGATCTTGATGCCCCCAAGCCCAACGCTCACGGACTGACAACGTTGGCCGGCAAGTCCACATCGGCTCGTAAGTATGGAGTGTTGGGGATTGGTGACCAGGGCTGACATATGCTCCAAATCCATGGCTGCTTGGTACCAATACCTACAATTCCCAAGCGATAGCCTCAAACCGGTAGTTTCGCCATGGTACTAGCAGTCCTTCCCACCTTCCGTCTGCTTTGAGAATGTCTGTCCCGATGAAAGCTCTGATATGACCATTGGTAGTTGACGGCGGTTATCTGCTGATGGTTCTCCAGGCTCCTTATAAGATATTCGCGAATGACTCAGTAAAGAGGTTTCATTTGGCTCTACCCGCTGATTAGCCCGAAGGCTCAAACACTCGAGCCGCAAGTACTGGTGCCATAGCGCTAGTCCTGGTCCTTCTTCCTACTCCTAATAACTATCCCGCTCTTGTTCCTTCCACCTATCCTCGTATTCAAATACAGCTGTTTCGCTCCCGCATGGACGGCCGCGATAGAATCCGACCCCTCGTCGGACAAGTTTAAGCCTGTTGCGGCGATGATTGACGCGATCAGACCGTTGGCGGGCCTGCGGCAAAGGAGCATGGACGACTCCGAGGCGGACCTGGAGGGGATGGAAGAAGTGGAACCACCTCCGCGGGGGGGGGGGGGAGGGGGGGGGACGAACCTCCGGGATCGCAAGGGATGGACGACTCGGAGGCGGACCTGGGGGGGATGGAAGAAGCGGAACCTCCACGAGGGATGGAAAAAGCGGAAGCGCCGCGAGGGATGGAAGAAGCGGAACTGCCGCGGGGGATGGTCGAGTCGCCGGGATTGAGAGGGGTGGTCGACGCCAAGAGGAGTGCAGATCGGTTGCAGTATTTGGGCAAGAAGCGCGTGGTGGAGTTCGTCAGGGTGTTCACCGACATCTCCAGCTGTGAGAGGTGCGCTCTGCTTTGCGACACGTGGTTCCCCGCCACATCCGAGGAGCACGCGCGGTAGGCCATTCATGGGGACATGGTGAGGGGAGACATGGCGTGACGTGATGGGCTTTGGATGCGATGTGATGTGCTTTGCATGCAATGTGATGTGCTTTGCATGCGATGTGATGTGCTTTGCATGCGATGTGATGTGCTTTGGATGCGATATGATGTATTTTATATGCGGTTTCTGCTCCAGCTGATATGACTTGTGCCCTCTCTGTGCCTTTCAACCCATTTCCCCTCCCCTCCTTTTCCCACTATTCACATAAAATTCCCTAGAGTGGAAACAGAAATGGGGCTGGTGTTCCGGTTCATAATCGGGAATGGGTGGAGAGCCGTGGATGTGCTGTGATGTGATGCGCCTTCTTTGCACCTTTACGCCTTTCCCCTCCTCCCCGTCCTCCTCCAATCACATGTTCCCCAGCGTGGTAGCAGAGATGGGGCTGATGTTCCGGTTCATAATTAGGAATGAGTGGAGCGCAGAGGAGGAAGAGCAGCTGCTGCGGGCGGAGAACAGCACTCACGTGGACTTCCTTTGCTTCGGCGTGGATGAGGCAATGTTCAATGCCAGCCGCAAGGCGTGAGTGGCTCCTTTGATGATAACGTGACGTATGATGCTCGCTATTAATGTGCTCCTCTCCTCTCCTCTCCTCCTCAATCTCAACTGCAAGGTGTGAGTGGCTCCTTTGATGATAGCGTGAAGCGAGATGCTTGATGTTATTGTGCTTCTCTCCTCTCCTATGCCAGCCGCAAGGCGTGAGTGGCTCCTTCGAGGACACCATGACGTGCTGCCTGGCTGCTTGTTATTGTGCTTCTTACTCAGGTGTTGCTGAATGTGAAGCTCCTTATGCTTGTACCTAGTACCTTCCTGTTGGAATAACGGAACAGGAATGAATGAACTAGCAGTGAAAACAGTACAAGTACCTAACCCTAGAATTGTGTACCCCCTATAAGCTAACCAACTGTAGCCTAAACAAACACACCAACATATATAATGTTTGACACACCCCCATAGGCGAAGTGGGGGAGAACTAGGGGTCACAAGACCAGTCAAGGCAAAGCAAGACAAAACAAGCTCAGGGTGGATCTCAAGGATACCACACAAATTTCGAGCACAAGCAAGTGGTCACAAGACCAGTTCACATGCAGGTTTATAATAGAACAAGAGGTACAATGATCACAACCTAGCAAGAGTAAACATGCAGGTATGTATATATATAGAGATCACAGTACAAACAGACTCAAGAAGTAAGCAAATAAGGTACAGTAGGCACAAGGCCTAGAAGAGTGCAAAAGCGCTGATGGTCACAAGGCTGAAGCGCCTTGGTGAACACATCAGCAGTGTTGGCCTCAGAGGCCACGTAACGCAGGCGAAGCTGACCACGCTGCTGTAGCTCTCGAGCAAGGAAGTAGCGCAGAGCAATGTGCTTCGTTCTGTGCTCCAGTCTGTGCTCCTAACACAAGGCAATGGCTGCCTTGTTGTCGACGTACAGCACTGGAGGAGAACGAGGCTGCTCTCCAATGTCGGTCAGCAAGTAGGTGAGCCAGCGTAGCCCCTGAGCCGCCATGGCTGTGGCGTAGATCTCAGCCTCACAACTGGAGCTGAGAACAGAAGAAGAGCGAGTACAACGCCAAGAGACAGAGCCAGAGCCAAGATTGAAGGACTAACCATGAGACGACCGCTGAGTAGCCTGGTCGTCTGCCCCAGAAGCGTCTGAGTGTCCAGTGAGAACAACTGGGACTCGCCCTCCAAGCACTAGCCCCATGCCTGACGTACTGCACAAGCAGCGCAACACCCTCTTAGCTGCATCCATGTGCTCCTTCCGGTGACGGCCGGGAGCAACATAGCCTGCAAGAATGCTAAGAGGGTATGCAAGGTCTGGTCGAGTGCAGGTCATCAGGTACATGAGGCAACCCACAAGCTCTGGATACGGGCCACTCGGCTCTACGGACTCATCCGAAGGCAGAGCTGAGAGCGAGTGACCGGTAGGCAGAGGAGTGGGCTGAGGCGAGGAGTACGTGAAGCGGAAGCGCTGAAGGACCTGCTGCACCATGTGTGACTGAGTCAAGGTGATGGTGCGGCGTGCTCTGTCCCGGGTGATCCGCAAGCCAAGATAGCTTGTCAGTTCACCCAGGTCTGTGCACGTGTGTCTCTTCTGCAGCTCCGACTTCACGTGGGCGAGTGCCGCAGTGTCAGCAGTGGCAAAGACCAAGTCGTCGACGTACACGAGGATGTAGAACGGCGGCAGTGAGGTGTCGGTGCGTAGAAACAGCGACGGGTGAGCAGTAGAAGGCGCGAACCCAAGAGCCGCAAGTCTAGTCCTCAGTGTGTCGTGCCACTCACGTGGCGCCTGGCGGAGACCGTAGACTGGCCGTCGGAGGCTCCACTGGGTACCAGGAGGGAACAACCCAGTGAAGCCAGGTGGAGGGCGCAGCCAGATCTCCTCGTGTAGGCTGCCCTGTAGGAAAGCAGTGCTGAAGTCAAGAGAGTGGAGCTCGTAGTCACGTTGAGCGGCGACGTGCAGCAGAACCCGAAGAGTGGTCATCTTCGGGGATGGGGAGAAGGTCTGGAAGTAGTCAACTCCCTCTCGCTGACTGAAGCCTCGTGCAACGTAACGCGCCTTGAAGACAGGCGGAGAGCCCGACGGCCGCTTCACCATGAAAATCCACATGCCACTGACGATGTTCGCCCCAGGCGGGGGAACCTCGTCGACATAGGTGCTTGTGGACTTCCAGGAAGCCATCTCTGTGTCCATGGCCGACTGCCACTGAGAGGAGTAGGGACCGGCCATCGCCTCTGCGTAAGAGCGTGGGGTCGGGATGTCTGGTACATCCGGGTCTCCCTCAGGGGCAACAAGCATGGACACGAGATGGGGCAAAGCGGCAGCAAAGCACTCAAACTCCTCCTGCCTGTCCTCAAGGACGTCAGTGCCAAGAGCACACTCACCCCCGACGGACGGAGGACAGACAGACTCAGACTCAGCAACCAGGCTAGCAGCGTAGTCTAGACGACAGGTGGCAGCAAAGTCGACAAGCTCAGCAACTAAGGCAGACGCAACAGGGGACTCAAAGGAAGGGTCACTGACAACAGTAGCCTGGAGACGCATGACAGTAGGACTAGCAGCACGAAGGGAGTCTGACCCAGGGTCAGCAAGAGTAGGAAGAGAGGAAGCAGGAGGAGACGGCAGTGGGACACGCAGTGGAGCAGTGGACGGACGAAGCGCCATCCGGTGAGTGCCTGGAACAGCAAGAAGACGCTGACCATGGACACGACTACCAGTGAGAGCAGCACGGACAGGCGACGCAGGACGTGACTTAGGCTCACGACGCTCAGTAAGACCTCCAGTCGGACCAGTGTAAGGAGCAGGACCAGGGAGAGAGGAGGCAGACGGTAGCTGCGACGGCAGCTGGGCAGACGGAGGACACCCTAAGGAGGGAGGAGGACACGGAGGAGGGAGCGAACCAAGAACCTGCTGAAGGAGCGAAACGAAGTACGGCCGCGGCCGTGCAGTGACACCAGAACCAGCAGAGACACCCGCACGAGGGTCCTCAGCACTAGCAGCATCTCCAACGTCCGGATCCCCAGCACCAGCAGCATCTCCAACGCCCGGGTCCGCAGCACCATCAGCAGCTCCAACACCCGGGTCCTCAGCACCAGCAGCAGCTCCAACGCCCGGGTCCGCAGCACCAGCAGCAGCTCCGACACCCGGGTCCTCAGCACCAGCAGCAGCTCCAACACCTGGGTCCGCAGCACCAGCAGCAACACCAACAGCAGCGGGGTCCGCGACACGAGGCGCCCCACTCCGAAGAGTGCAGCGCCGTTCGTACCACTCACGGATCCGCTCACGGGAGGGGAGCTCCCGACTAGGAGGAGAAGTACTAGCACCAGTCCCAGTAGCACGCCTGGCTCCAGAGGTGCCTCTCCTGATGCTGCAGTACTGTAAGTACCACTCACGCAGCTGCTCCGAGGAGAGGGCTCCCCCAGGTGTAGGACTCCCAGGCTCAGTACCTCCAGACTCAGAACCCCCAGACGCCGGACTCTGCTGCTCAACACCCCGAAGCTCAGCACCCCCAGGCTCAGCACCCCCAGGCTCCGCACCCCCAGGCTCCGCACCCCAAGGCTCCGCACCCCCAGGCTCCGCACCCCCAGGCTCCGCACCCCCAGGCTCCGCACCCCCATGCTCAGCACCCCCAGTCCCGGCACCCCCAGGCTCAGCACCCCCAGGCTCAGCACCCCCAGGCTCAGCACCCCCAGCAGGACGAGAGTCGACAGCTACCTCAACAGGCTCAACCGGGTCTACCTGAGACACACCTGAGGGAGCGGCACCCTGAGGGGGGAGGGGGTCTACAACAGCAGCACTTGGTGCGAGGAAGAGAGGCGGGGGGGGGAGCGGGGCAGTGCGGTAGGGGAAGAGGCGGTAGTAGGGGACGGACTCGTCAAAAGTGACGTCCTGAGAGGGCAAGACTCGGCGCGAGGTGGCGTGGTAAAACTGCCAACCAGACGCGTCCGGGACAAAGCCGAGGAAGACGCACGGAACATCACGGGAGGAGAGCTTGTCCGCAGACGTATCGCAGACAAAAGCTCGAGATCCCCAGACCCGGAAACGCGACGCATCGCCAACCTCCCCCGTCCATAGCAGTGTGGGCGAGGTCTCCGGCAAGGAGACACGGGGCCAGAGGTTGAGCTGATGCGCAGCATACCAGACCGCAAACGGCCACAGAAAGTGGGGGGCAGCCGCATGGATCAAGGAGGTACGAGCGACCTCCATGACCAGGCCAATGCGGCGCTCCGCAACCCCATTTTGCTGTGGAGAGGCCGGAAGCGTGAACGGCTGCTCAAAGCCGTGCTCAGCACAGTAGGCCGCCAATGCGGAGATAACTGCAGCAACGGGAGCTAGGCTACGGGCTAGGCACGTGTGCTCGTGTGATCTCTGCGTTCTCTGTTCCTTAGTCGTTTTCCTTGTGTACACACTACTTGCTAGTTCACGGGGAAAATTGGCAAGAGTTTCACTAGGAAAAGTTCAGAACAATTGGTACAATGAAGTTGGCATAGCATGACTACATCAGAGCAAGCATTCAGGTCGGCCAACTGCCAGCGCAGCTTGGTCGACCGCGTTCCAGCACGACTTGGTGGACCGCACTCCAGCAAGGCAAGGTCGACGGCGTGCCAACGTCGCAGGTTGACGGCGTGCCAGCGTTGCTCACGCAGGACAGCAGTGCACCCGCCTCGCAGGTGTGCGTAGCTGATTGGCGTGCAGAGTCCCGTCACCTGCACAGCGCACACTCCACGTCAACCTCGAGCTGACGACTGCCTCTGGTCCGCCACGACGACCTCGGGATACCACCACCGAGGTCGTGCTCGCCACCTTTGCCTGGGCGACCGTCGCACTTCTCCGCAGCACTTCGTCACCCAGGTAACCTGGTCGACCGGGCAACCACGTCGACCAGCAGCTCTTGCACGTGCCCGTCGACCTCCCAAGTCGACGACCACCCCAAGTCGACCTCCTCAGGTCGACCACTACTCCCTGGTCGACCAGCTCCAAGTCGACGTCACTCCTGGTCGACCAGAAGGGCTGGTCGACTT